CTAGTAGAGCTATTAGGTAAACCTCTAGCTCCCTTATAGTATATATAGGTAAGTAATTTCCCCTCTACCTAGTAAGGTAAATTATCTCTAGCTTTTCTAGTATAAAGGACACCTTATTTACTATACCCTATTTATTAATTAAGTTAAGGTCCTTTACTAGTAGGTAGATATTCTTATCTAGTAAGTAAGTGTCCCTATAGATATAGACGTTATTAGTATAGCTAAACCTTCTAGTTTAGTCCTAGTTAAGAAGTTTAGCTAGGTATAGTATATATAGCACTAGGGAAAGTAGTAATCCCTATAGTATCCTATAGTTAATATAATACTTAGGGGTAGTAACCTATCTAAGCCTAACCTATATCTTTCTATTAGAGAGGAAGTTATTAATAAATCCTAGTACTCCTATAGGCTATCCTTGCTCTACTATTCGCCTAAGCAGTCTATTCTTTAGAAGTGCGTTAAAGGCGCCTTATATATCTATAGTTACTATAGTAGCTTATCTACTATTAGCCTATACTCGCTCTACGTTATATATAAATAAGGTTACTAGGTCTATAGTAGATTACTTTAGGAGGGCTCTACTATACTATAGGCTAAGTATATTATACTATATAGTAATTAAGGTAATACGCTTTACTACTATCTATTCTAGCCTTTTTCCTAGGTATAAGAGAAGGGCTATAGGTCTCTATAATCTTAGGGAGGTCTTATCCTTTTTCCCTACCTTAGGGATTATAGTAACCTTAGCTATCTTCTAGGTAGCTAGAAAGTATTATATAGTAAGGTAGGCCTAAAAGATTATCTAAAGATATATTCTAATATAAGCCTAGCAGGTCTTAAGTAGCCTAGTAGTAATATAGTTAGTCTGTAAGGATATACTTATTACTCTAATAGTATATTACTCTACCTCTTTAATTAAGATAAATATATCCTATAGTAGGATAGGTATTATAGAGGAGGGGGATATAGTTAGGTATAGGAGGTTGTTAGTAGAGTTAAACCTTCCTAGCACACTCTATTAGAGGGCTTTAGCCTTTACTAGTAGCTCTATTATAAGCTCCCCTTTAATAAGAAGTAGCATATCTTATTAGTTAGGGGTAAGTTTATACTATCTAACTAGCTTATATAGCGCTTTATTATCTATAATATTATTAATCTAGTCCTTCTAGTACTCCCTTTTTACTCTCCTAACTATTAATAGAAAGGGCCTAGTAGTATCTAAAGGGGGTTATATTAATAGGGCCTATTCTAAAAAATATTTCTAATAGGCTTTATAATAGTCTTCTATTTACTAGGGTGCTACTTACGCGGCCTCCCTATCTAGTTTCCTAGAGACTTTAAGTGCGTCTTATATAGCTATTATTAAAGCCTTAATATAGCTATTTACTACTACTAGTATTTAGGCGTCTAAGGGGTTAGGGGCACCTCTTATATTTAGTTTAACTAGCCTGCTAAACTATATTAGGTTCTTTTTAGAGAGGTAGTAGTAGTATTATAGTTAGGTACCCTACCCTCTAGCTAGTATAAAAGTAACTATTATAGAGTAGTTAGAGCTATAGTGTAGGTTATTATAGATAGTAGTAGCTATAAAGGGGATATTAGAGAAAGTTAGGTCTAGGATATACCTAGCCCTATAGGTTAGCTAGCTAGGTTCTCCTATATACCTTATATTATTAAGGTTAGCCTACTAGGTAAGTTTAGTGCTACTATATACTAAGATTATACTAGGTTTAAATATTTTATAGTAGGCGTTAAAGTCCCCTTCTACTATATATAGTATAGGTAGGTTAATTTAAGTAATATATACTAAAGCTAGAAGTATATTTAGTTACTAGTATATATTAGTAATAGAGTATCTATTAACCTTTACCTAGAGGATATTCTAACTAATATATAGGTAGATAATAGTTACCTTAAGGTTAGCGCCCTTCTAGATATATATTAGGACCCTTAGGTAGTTTACCTCCTAGGCTACTAGGGAGTTGCTAGTCTAGTCTATAACTAGCGCTATAAGTGTAAAGGTAGGGTAATTCTAGGTATAACTATCTATTACTATATAGGGTTCTTATATATATATAATATTTATATAGTATTAGTAGGATTATTCTAGTATAGTAATATAGGTAGGGGCTTCTTTACTAATATTAGCCTAGTAGATTTATAGGTCCTACCTAGGGTTTATATATAGGTAATTTCTGCTAGCGTCTATATCTTAGTATTCTACTATTAACTAGTTCCTTTACTTATTTCTATATCTACCTAGTTATTAGTAGAGTCTATTAGGTTAGGCTCTATATTCCTAGGTTAGACTAACTAGGTAGATAGGAGGCGTAGGCTTATACTACTAGTATTAGCAGCTACCCTCTATAGTCTCCTTATATTTAGTAGTTATTTATCTAATAAGGTAGTATAGCCTCTAGTTACTACTATCCTCTTATTTTACTTTAGTAGGGGGGTAGTAGGTCTAGCAGGTGCTATTTATAAGGCTAGTATATCTATATATTCTATTACCCTAGCTAGGGCTACCTATGCGCTAGATATCTTATTATTTATTAGTATAGGGACTACTAGGGCTTACTAGTATACTTTATATCCTACTTGCTAAATTACCTTAAGTTAGCTTTTAGGAAGGTAAATAATATAGTTACCTACTTTCTAAGGTATAGTAGTATACCTCTTATATATTAATTAGAATAGGCTATTATAGTTTATATACTTAAGGTAAGACTAGTATTCTATACTATATAGGCCTATATACTTAGATAGTTCTATACTATAATTATAGTAGTAGGGTAGCCTATTATAGCAGGATTAGGTGTAGTATCCCTAGTACCCTAGGTTATAGAGCTAAATAGTAAGTCCCTTCTTAATCTCCTTAGTATAGCTCAATATACTAAAGAGGTAGAAAGGCCTAACCTACTTAGTAAATAATATAATCTAGGTAGTAAGTCTATTAGGCTATACCCTATACTTTAAGGGTTAGTAGCTAACTAGGTAGTAGCGTGTTTAGGAGAATGCTTCTACCTTTACTAACTCTATTATTATAGCGATTTTAGCGCCCTATATATTTCTATAGGAGCTTATAACACCTTAGAGGGTATAGTTTACTTACTTAATAGGTAGTCTAGTATCTTTAGTATTAATAGCACGTATTATAAGTTCCCTATTAACTTAATTTATTAGGTAGTTTCTAATTTTATTATTAGTAGGTATAAGAGCCTAGCTAGTATTTATCTAAGTTACCTTAGGTATATCTTCTAGGGCTACTCTATCTACTACCTTATAGATAGCTTATTAGACTATAATTAAGGCTAGCTACCTTAGCCTTAAGTTACGTAGTATAGTAATAAGGATTCTATTATTTATAAGGGGTGCTTATTATTACTAAGGTATTACCTAGTTTAGTCTAGTTCTACCCCTAGCTAGCTTATCTAGGTTTTTTAGGGTTTAGGCTATATCTACCTAGGTATATTAGGCGTGTTAGGTAAAGTTTTTAGAGCTACTTAGTAGTAGTATATCTAGCTAGGTAGGTTTAATAGAGGTAGTAAGTGCTTAGATAACCCTCTACTAAAGCTCCTTTATAATATTAGCCTTTATAGGAGAGGTAAATCTAGATATATAGTTATTAATAGCCTAGGCTAGTATAGTAATAATATTATAGTGTATTTAGGTAGCCTAAAGTGCTACCTAAACTTACTAGTTAATAGTATTTTTTACTATAGTTATAGGTATTATAACTTTACTAAAGTATAGAGGGATAGTAGTCTAGTCTATACTAGGTTACTATATCCTTCTATAGGCGCGTAGATTATAGTAGCCTAGTAACTAAGGGTTATTAGGTCGCGTTATAGTATTCTAGGTGCTAGGTAGCCTCTTAGGTGTTATATTAGCTATTACTTTAACGCCTACGCTTGCGCGGGCAGGAGAATAGCTAAGGTAGCTAAAGTAGGAAGTAGTAGTTAATTTGTAATAAAAATTAGGTACTTATTAAAGGGTACTATAAAATCAAAAAGTTGGTGTTTGGTGAGCGATGATGGAGGCTCAGGAGCCGCTGTGATTAAGGGTGCTCTGACGTCATCGTCTCAAGCACCATCACGTGCCGTGGGCCATGACCACCTATGAGCGATCTAACCCACCCACGGGTATCGCTTTAGATAAGTACAACGGAAAGTCTTGTTCTTCGATATCCCATACCAGCTTAGCGGACGGTTAAAGAAACGTGCACAACTTGCTCGGCTTCTTTTTGGATTGACACAGACCTCGTACAAGACTAGCGACCTGGCAGCGTTAACAAATTCAAACCACTGTTTTACTAACAAACCCTCAGCTAGCAGGGAGATTCGGATTGACAGCTGATCATCATGAACTACCTATTTCTTCTTAGCTTAAGTTATGACATTTCGCACCTTTATGAAGATACTCTACGTGCACCTGCTGGATAACCCTCACTTATCCCTTTGATACACGGCATCAGCATATGAACGAGACTTTTGTCTTTAGTTTCTATTTACATTAATTTCCATTGAGTGTTCCGCTTGTAAGCTTGCCAGTAACAAGAGACCATTTCGTCTGCACTCGAGTGGAAATCATCCAGTCGGTAAAAAGCAACCCCTGCGATTTCCATACCGGCACTTTTCGATTGTCTTGAAGAAGTACGTAACGAGATACAAAAAGGAGAATGGTCCCAAGTCTGAACATAGCTATCTGCCAACCTGTGACCAAAAGCCCCAAAGCAATCTGCCCAGAAACTTGACAATATGCTGAACAACATCTCCTTCGCTGTTGCGACGGCTCTCGTAGTCCTTATTTCAAAAGCAGAGGCAGCAGAATGCTCACGTGCTGGTCTTCTCGCTGCAATTTCATCTTATATTTCCGCTCAGACCTCTGGTAAACCCTCAAACCTTCCGCTGTCAAGCAACTTTACCTATCAGCAAGGCAACAAAGTCTCCGACATCTCCAAGGGTCTTCTCGCAACACCATATGCCATTGATTTGAACCGATCAACCACCGATACCGTAGCATGTGCCAGCTACACAATGTGGATCAGCACTTCGGGCAGTAAACCCTACGTTGTGAGCACGCAGCTTCGCCACGCAAACAACGACACGAGTGCAATCAGCATGATCGACACTGTCGCTGCGACAACCGGTGATCTCTTTTTCGACGCGAAAAAGACGCTCGGCTATATCCAAAAGGAGGACTGGACCACGATCCCTGCAGGAAGGCGCCCAAGTCGTGAGCTGCTCAAGAAGATCGGTGACGCTTATCTCGACATGTGGACAGACGCGAAAGCCGCAGACACCATCCCTTGGGGTACCGAGTGCGAGCGTGTTGAAGGAAGTTCATACACAAGTCCGTGTGGCAAGACATTGCCACATGGCGGGAGTGCCAAGAACAACGGTATGCGAAGGTATGTGATCGATGAGGAGATGGGTAGTGTCGATGTGCTGTGTCAATTTGACAGTTTGGGTGCATGGCCCGATAGCCACGAGATCAGGGTCGTAGATGGGAAGGTGAAGTATGTCCATACTGTGACTGCAATGAAGACTGGCTAGCAACTGTCGAAAATCGGATTGCCTTTCCATCAATTCTGTGTCGCGGATTTTTCAAAGTAAACCTTGAAAGTGTCGTGAAACACCCTCGATCTCCCACATCGACATTCCTAGATCACTGTTGTTTTCTGGAGGCGTTTGCGCTGGTTGTTGTTGTTCTGTTACTGCTGCAGCTCCGAAGACGTCATAAAGATCCATGAGGTCGTTGGTAATGTCAAATACATCAGGCAGATTCTGCGCATTATCACCCAGCATAGGTGTTATGACAGATACCAAGGGCTCGAAATTTGAGCCTTGATTCGGCTTCAGCAGCGGCTGTCCAGCAATATAATCGGCTTCCCGATGCGCAGCTTTTTGACTTCGGCGGCCAGCTTCCGCACGCTGGCTTAGAGATTTCACTATGGGCAGTAGCCCTCGAATGCTTTTCCATAGTCTCCGGCTGGCATCGCTATGACGGGCAAATCCTTTGACAAGCTCCACGGCCGAAGCAAAGGAATCTCTGCAAGACTCAGCGAAGAGATTCGGCGAGTGGCACACAGCGAGAAGCACAACAGCCAGCGCGCTGAGCAAATAGTAATGGTAAATGCTCTGCTCGCGTACATATATGTCGCTTGTGTTGCTAAGATGCACAAGTACCAGTATTGTGTCCTTGGCGATGTCAACCACGAGCTGAGCTTTCTGAGTGTTGGCTCTGATGTTGTCTGACGTGAGGACATGGTGTCGGTGTATCAGCGTCCGCATATAATTACCGCGTAGGTAGAGAATAGTACGCAACCGTCGTAACTGGCGTGGTTGACTACGTGAGGCAAGGCCAAGCCGTGGATGAACGAAATGCAGTTCCTCTGGGATGGAAAGTAGCCAATTTTGAGTCGTGAAATCGAGATAGTCCTCGGTCTCCTTCGGCATTATGTGGGATCCGTACGAAGGAAGAGCGTCCCAAACTCTCGAGCATATTCTTGCAAAAGATACCATACACTTGAGATAGGGAAATTCTCTTCCGGGCTCTGGCAGCTGTGGATCTATATCCCGGTCGTGGAGAGCAAAAGACAGACTAGTACCGAAACTCCATCGTCGGTCCAGCTCATAGACCACCCAAAAGACTTGTACAGCGAGGCTGCGAGAGCGTTCGTCTTTGAAGCTCTCCATTAGACTTTGCTTTCGATGAAGCCCCAGTTCGAGGCATTGTCGTGCCGCGCAGCCTATGGCGCGCCATGCAAAGAGCTCTTCGGATGTGTGACAAAAATACAGACTCTATCCACAGTTTTAGAGTCAAGCATTAATGGGGTTTGATAACAACGTACCAGCATGCTCATAATTTGAACATCTTTGAACACTAACTCTAAGCTGTTAGCCATAGTTCCAACGTCTGCCTTGACGGATGCCACAAGCCTGTCGGAGACTTCATTTTTGCCAAATGTCTCGCAGATTAGAGCAGTTGCAATGGCCAGCCTAAGGACATGCGCATCCCGCGGATCAAAATTTTGAGATTCCTTTATCGGTCGATGAGGATTTTTGATAAAGTCTAGAATCTGCGGGACTTTTGAGACGAGAGCCTCCATCTCGATGATGGGGTGTACACAAGCTATCTCATCTTCATATATGCCAAGCAGACGAATCGTCTCCTCTACTGAGATACTTGTCATCAAATCTCTATCCGAACATATTGACAGAGGTCTGATTTCGTTAGACGGTTCTGTTGATGGCTCTCGTGAAGACTCAACCGATGACGAATTGGTTGAAAGCGATTCACGAGGTGCGATACCCATACGCGTAAGGGATGTTTCGGCAACATTGAAGCTGAATGCAGAGCTTGTAGGACCAATGAATTTTGGTTGTACAGGCTCCTTTGGTCGAGTTGTGGTTACAAGTTTTGCTGGGCTTGCCGATAGACCCAATGAGGCCCGATCTTCAGGATTGATTGGTGCTCGCGTTTGCGTTTCGACCAGGGACGCAACTACTGCTGTCAGAGTGGACACTTGCTCTCGCAAGCGTGTCATATCATGGCTCAATTGCCTGAGGTAAGAACTAGGAGAGAGTTAGCCATTGTTCATTCGAGTTTGCTTGATTGAAAACTTGCTCGTCGACTTTGGTCCTGTGTTTATCTTTGTCCTTGTCCTTGGCTGACTGAATCGCCGAGGGAACAACAATGCAAGGAGTCTTCATTGTTGTACATCGCTGACAAGTCGTATCGTCCTCCTTTCGGATACACTTGACCTTGGTTCTTTTGCACTCGTTGCTAACATCCCGTTAGTTCTTCGCCCGAAGCCTCATGGTTTCGGTGCATGGATTACCAGGCAGTAGCCGTGTACTTCGCTCGCTTGCGACGATTCTCCTCGACTTCTTGGGCAGGTCGCTTGTGCGAGGAGTTGGAAGCGACGCTTCCATTTGCACTCGGCTCATCCATATCGCGCACGTTACCTACGTCTGTTGATTGTGTGTGACGTGAGACTCTGTCGACATTCGGGGATCAAGTTCAGCCCGAGGTACGCTAAACCAAGCGCAACGCAAGGCAGCACTAAGTTTGCCACTAATAGAAGATTCGAACAACTAGTAAGCCATGTGGCCATAACGCATCTGGCAATATTCCTGACAGAAGCGGGTGCAGGTACACAGTGCAATCTAGGTACCTGGCATCTATTCAAGTGTTCAGTGGATGAGCCGAGGAAAAAGCAGCGAAGAAGCGGGGGCGTTACAGTGATACCTATGGTATGAATCGATTGCAACAGTAATACAATTTCCCAGTCTTCTTTGCAATTCAACTTAATCGAATAAATTCGGATAATCTAATGGAGGCTGCGTTTCCTACACACAAGAGTCATGTTCATTGCCATATGATTCATCGTGGACAGAAGTGGGGCGCACAGCTATGGTAGGCAAACCTGATATGGCCTAGTGGCAAAGCATACGGAACCAAAGCACCTGAAACTCTCCTCGTCACTACAACAGTCTAGACAGCCATTTTGTTCGCGTACACGAAGTTTTTGCGCGGTACCGCAGATTCTTAGTCTACCTCAGGCCCATTACATATTAAAATGTAACACAGTTATGCACTGATCATGCAAACTGGCTTTTGCAATGCTCTTGCCTGTGGCTTTACACATATCTGGTAGACTACCGCTCTGTCTTCTTCGTGGAACCAATCACCAGAAACCTCATGGATCTGGTACTCCTTGGAGTATATCTGTACATTCATAGTGAATCATGATGCAGACCAGAAGGTGTGGCCGAATCAAGGTAGACTATGCGCAGCAGCTTGCATGCAAGCACACTACCATACCAACGTCTTGAATCTTACCGCAGAAAATTCCTCGGATTCTGGTCGGCACCCTTGGAATCCCAGTTTTTTTTTTCTGATTTGCGTGGGATAGTTCAAACAAAGGTCTAGATGACGGAATCCGAAATCACTAGTCTACATGTCTTTATCGCGAGTCCCACTTTTCATTTACCCCTCAGTCACCTGGGATAAAACGCGAAGTTTAATAGCCTAGATCACCACCAGATCACTTTATTACACGCTTAGGCACAAGCCAGATGGTATGACTATTGTTGGTGCCGAAGAATGGGAGCGGACCGCCTTGCCGGCGAACCAGCCTATTGGTATCTACAGTACATTGTGCGGCGTATGGGAATAGCACTCGAGAACGAAGCAACGCTGGTTTTGTCACCATCAAATGTATCTGGACGTCTTTCTCATATTTTGTGATTTCAAGGTGTCTTGTGTGGGCATTGAAAATGAGCCGTTACTTTTGTACTCTAAGATCAATCTCTCAGGTCTCTAAAGTATCTAAATCCTTCTTTGAAAGCCATACACTTGAAATAGTCCAAAGAATACATATTCCGGTACAAAAAGGCACCAAAGGGCTATTGACCCAGATTCTCACCTCTGCATCAGCGTTCCCGTCATACAGGTAGACCATAGGATCGGTGGCTACCACATATTCTGATGAGCTTTCTCTGGGATATTGTTTTGAAGCTAGAATCAGGCAGAATCTGGTAACGCATTCACATTCACATGCCCATTGGCCGTGATGCCAGTTTGATGCCTTGGAGCTTTGCTGATGCGCACGTGTCCCCATGGCAGCCTGCATAGAACTAGCACGCTAATACAATATTCACGGAGAAAGACTTTTTACAAGAGTATATAAGCCTCTTGATTCTTTGCTCTTATCAATCCCTCTTACTCCATAACACATTCATTATACAATACACTTCTCTCACCACACACTTATAACAAAAGATTATATCTACAATGAGCATCACCACCAACTCTGAAACATTCGGCAGCCTGCCCTTTGACCACTTCAAGGGCAGCGAGGAACCCTGCCCAATCTGCTATGAGCGTACCAGTGGAGCTATCATCTCCACAACCTGTGGACATGTCTTCCATTTAGGCTGTCTGAACACCTGGTTCGACCAGCAAGACGAGTGCTGCAGGGACTGCACTTGTCCCTACTGCAGGACCACTGTTTTTGGTAAGAGCCTGCCGCTTTTTCATCACTATCAGCATCATTGTGATTTGACTAACAGTCACATAGAGGCCTCCTTGTTTCTTGAAGATATTACAGACTATCACGTAAGAGAGAGGTCGAATCTTGAGTTATGGTGGAATGTCGAACCACCCCAAGTCACCGATACGGTTGTGTCTGAGCCATCTCGCTCAGAGGCGGGACGAGAACATGAGGGCATGTCAACATAGCCTTGTCATACTGTCATATTATATCTAACTCCCAAGCAGCACAAAGCAGTATGGCGTAGTGAGAGGGTCTGGTGATCGAGCTGTGGGTGACTGAGTGGGGCATGCCAGTCGTGCTTTGGTGTGATTTTCTGCTAGCTCTCTCTACGGTACCGTATTGGTGTTGCATTTACAGTTTTTTTGAACTCATGTGCCTTCTTGCTACACTGTGAAGTTAATGAAACGTGATGATACTTCTCTGTGGTCCCAATGCACACTTGTCTCATACAATTTGTTGTTTGTCTTGCCTCTTGCACAATACAGACCCTTCGCCTTTGAAATTAATCTTGATAAATTTACGTTGAAATCATACACTTACCATACAAAGGCTCAACACTCAACTTTCACATCACACAGCAAAAAGAGATGCCAGAACAATACTTTGACCCTGTCGGCCTCACAGAGCCCAACACCACACCCTACACCCTCACCGTCTATAATCCTCCACGCACATCATCGCGATGGCTTCCATCATTTCTGAGGAGCCGATCTATTACCAGTGAAAAGTCTAGCTCAGCATACATGACGCTCCTCGACGAGACCGACCCCAATCCTGACTGCTCTAAGCCGGAACACCTTCGCGACCTACCCACAAAAACTATCACTATTAAGGCCTTCTTGTTTGCACCAGAGTTGCGTTGCATGCACCTGCAACAGGGCGCTACCGTGTGCAACCAAGGCTGCTACTTCCGCGAGAGGGGCGGCGATGAAAGCACTCGATGGCGATGTGAGCGGGCCGACTGTGAGGGGCATATGTATTGTGGGCTTGTTCTGAAGGATGATAATGGTAAGGCTTGTTTTGGAGAGAAGGGTAAGCGCATGGTGTGTCTCGATCGTTCTGTGGATGGGCAATAACGAACGACGACCGTATTGTACATCATGGAGACCGACCGGAACGGCCACCGCAAGTATTCAAAGTTCTGCTCGGTAAATTATTGTATGCCCTAGAAATCCTCCTCTCATAGTCGAACTAAATGGAGCAGTTGCTCACAGTACTCTGTCAGCGAATGGGCAAATTAGAGCACGTTAGCAAATGGGAAATTATGATATTGGTACTATTTTGGGACACTACAATGAAAGGGTATTTCGATAATACATGATTAATGTGTACGATCGTCTTGTCAAATGTGGATTTAATCAGTACACAGCGCCTATCTACGAGAAGAATACAGCGGCAGCTGCACCCATTCCCGCCAATGCAGATACCATGGTCACCATGGGTGCAGCAGCCCCAGACAAGGCTATGCCCGGCAGGGAAGCAGACGAACTACCGTAAGCAAAACTTGTCACGATAGAGTCAATAATGACAGGAAATTCTAACCTAGATACAGATCCCGATGCGGGTCTTGCGCAGCCAGATGATGATAGTCGGTGAGCAGTGTTGGCAGTAGACGTTCCGACAGCGCGCTGAGCTTTTCGGTTCGAGCAGTGACTATCAGAAGGAAACTGTTCATGAAGTGCTGCGAATCTTCGCTTAGGGTCACGGCCTGGTCTGTATTCCCGTCGCTACGTTTGGTGAAAAGGATCTCAGAGTCGGGTAATGATACACGCATAATTGCTTCAGTTGCTTCGTGGAGTTGACTGTAGGTGGCGGGGAACCCAGATGATTTTTTTGTTCAAGTATTAGGCAATGCTATATGGAGGCGTTTAACAAACGACTTTATCTGAACAGTGCTGTGAGGCGGACGAGTGTAGAAGAATGTGGGCCCCGTAGTAGACTTATCGGAGTATACAGTCAGGGTCACAATCATCCCAAAGATCCAATTGACCAAATCCCTGACCTCGCAGCTTATCCTACTACGCCCTCCCTATGGTTCTACCTAGTACTAGGAACTATCATAACTAACCATAGCAACTCTAATATGTATTTTCATCTCCTGACATTGCCGGCCTTCGCGACTGTACAACTGACACAACAAGCAAATTGCACAATCGAGAACCAGTGAAGCGGCTATGGGCACAAGAAGGGCCTGTTCCAAAGACAGACGATTCGCAGACATAATTCAACACAAGCGGGCTACAGTCTGTCGAAGTGACAGAGAGAAATGGTATCCCATTAGTTTGTTGGTGTTCGAATTCGGCCACTCGTGGTGTGATATCTCAACCACCCCGCGCCGCGACTTAAGCAATCCAACAACCGAACAATGATATCACTACTTTTGTGTACTGTTGCGTAGCCTCTCTCAAAGTACTTGGGATAATTTTAGTGTTCTCACGCCCCATATTCGATCACAGTATACCAAGACACTTTCTGCTCGACCTTGCAATTTGCCACCGACTTCCTCAGTGCAGCTTCAACTCTGGAATCGATCCTTCATTCCTTTCCCGCATTGCTTAAAATATTTCTCTCCCGTTCAGTTATCCTTGCAGCTGTTCTGGGTACCACGGGGTGCCCCACTCGCGAAATTGTAGTCATCATCGTCGTTGTCTCTCGCTCGCATGAGGTCCGTCGACCATCCCTGGAATGGTTTCTTGAGAGCTGCTTTAAGCGACTTGATACCAAACGCATGGTGTTGATTTTTTTGTCGTGTATTTTCTGCCATAGGCGTGTATGATGAGCGGTAATCAGAGGCTGAGGGAGATTGGGTGGTCATGTTGATGTAGAGGATGGAGTCTGATGTGTAACTTGATGAGTGTGCGAAGGGCACCTGTATATTTGGATGAGGAAGGAATTCAAGGTAATTGCCTCTTCTTTTTTCATGTATAGGTCTCTGTTGACAAGAGTCCGTCATACATAGCAATGCTTGACACGAATAGCTCAATGCCGAGCTATCGCCGAAAACAAGCATTGATCTTCATGTGATTTTTCTTTTGAGAAGCGTGTCCTGTCAATAAAAATTAAGAGATATCATTGATTGGATGCTGTCAGTATTTGATCCCTTTAATTTATTGGTTATGCATCCATGACATGCATATGATGCATGAGAATTCGGCGATCAATCGGACTGATATCGCACGTTACGTTACCGACCATCCAGGTTGAACGCGCGCATCAGAATTTATCAACCCAAACCTTATGATGAGGTATATTCTACAAGTAAGCGAGACACAGACAATCTGCTTCTGTCTTACCGAGGTACAACAAACTTGTCTCAGCTAATGGTATTGCCTTTGACCTTCAACACTGCTACGAACGAACGGATGGTCGCAGTTCGAGTGAATATATAAATGCAATTTGATCTACTATACTGTCTACTCCCTTGCAACAAGGATCCTACTTATATAATTCTCTCCTGCAGCTCGTCCAGAATCAACGACTAATAGTAGTCGTGCTGAGACTTGATGAGATCCCGCCTAGTCCAGAACAATATCAATACTTGATATCCACCATTGAAATCAGCCAGCTGGTAGCACATGCTTCAACGCAATCGCTTCCAGTCTGATTCGTTTGTACGAGATTCTGTGCATCTACGTTAAACTCACAAATGTGCACAGTGGTAAATCATTGTTCGACACTGGAAATCATACATTATTTTGCAAAAGGGCAGACAACAACTGCCCATTGCGGCCAAACTGACTGACACTGTGTATAACTTGTACCCAAACTTTCTCTCTCTTATGCTGCTATCGCAACAAATGTCAATCTACTAGAACCCCACCACCATTACCCATATCGAGAACCAACAAAACACCCTTCAATATTTAATTAAAGTTCCCCCACCCCGCTGGGACAAAACGAACCCAAACGCTACAGCACAGCAAAACCCAACAGAGTTGGATTCATCGTGATGTAGAGTCGCTTTTGGGGTTGCTGGCAAGGACTTGTGAGAACAACATAGCCGATTACCTGAGTATTAGAAAACAATTTTTTGATTTGATACCAGCTTCTGTTTTAACAAGATTTATAATAGCTTCATCTTCCCAGCTCCAAATTCAATTTACCAGCACAAAACATGCTATCTCTCCATATCCACCATCAAATATCCCCAGTATACCCCCGCCCCCCCGCCTTGAACGTCCCATGAAACCCAAATCCCATCGGACCCCTCATCTCCGCGCGACCTAACTCCTTCAAATCCCTCGCCCTTAGCGCGAGCAGATAACTCCTCTCCTCGAACCCATCCAACACTACCGTCAACAGCACACCATCGTCTTCCTGTATCCCCTCGGGATCGGCGACGAAGATCGGTTCGCCGGGCGTATGGCCTTCTTCTTCCCAGAAGATGCTCGTTTGAGACACATTGTCGAACTTGACGATGCCGTCCATGAAACTCGACTTGAGGCGGTCCGTACAGCCGTAGGTAAAGCGGTGGCGTCTGGTGAGGTAAGAGGGGTTGATGGTTGGGAGTTCCATTGATATGGCTTTTGGTGCTTGGAAGATGATTTCTGCGGTGCGAGGGACTTTAGTTTCCATGCCGTGATCTACGCAGGGGAGGCGGAATTGGGCTTGCATGGGTAGACTTGATGATCTATTATCGCCCTGAAAATCTGGATCGGCGACGGAGGAAACGATGCTGTCGTAGTAGAAGCGTTTTACAACGTCGTTGTTTTCAAACATGCTCAGTTCAGTGATGATGTCTGTTTTGGTGGGATCGGTGGGCGAGGGTTCTTCCCAGGCATTCACGCTGTGGAAGCAGAAGAAGGGTTTACTCGAGTATGTTGCTACCAGGCCTTTGGAGTGGGTGCGGTCGATGACGTACCATGTCGCTTTGAAGTTGGGATCGAAGGGTGCGATTGCTTCGGCGATGTTTTTGTGATAAAGAATGGGGATGCCCAAGGCAGTAATGTGGCTGCTCCAAGTGCAGAGGATGACATAATTCTCGGACAGGAACAACGAGTGAATATATGTGGGTGTGCCGGTGAAAGTAGCAAGAATGTCGGTGTTTCCAGTCTCCAGTGAGGATCTGAAGATCCGATATGTACAATTGGCGCCAAAATCGAGATTGAAGTTGAAGACATCGCCGGTGATCGGGTCCGACTTGGCGTGTGCGGCTGAGAAGGCACCTTTCAGATCAGGGTGGAGTATACTCTGATAGACAAGGCCAAGTGGTTGCAACGTCTCAGGGTCTATCTTCTTGAGCTGTGAGGAGTCTGTCTTGGCGTGTAGAGTTACTATCCCATTGGTGTGACCATTGACCATTGATTTCTGGAACCCGCCGCCAGGCATGTTGATAGACAGAGTAACACCGACATTTTTGGTGTCCCGTGAAGATGTGAACATGGATGATACTTTCTTGAAGTAAGACTCGCAAGGGTCGCGTTGCGGGCCAAATGTAGTGCAATCGACCTTTCCAGTCTTGCGAACAGTCTCAAGGTACTCATCCACCGTACGCCGTGAACGATACTGCACTTTAGCAGGGCCATTCGCGTCTGGAAAGTCAATTTGGAAACGATGAATCCCACTGAAGCCATCAAACCAATGCTTTGCACTCCACGTCTTGCCGTCAATTGTCTTTGCTTTGTAGCCTAGCGGTCCTGTTCGGTACAATACACCTGCTGCATAGTACGGTATCTCGCCCTTGACGGTAAGTTCGACAGGCTCATGCTCTTCGTAGCTGGTGTCGAAGCCAGACGTGTTGGGCCAGGGTTCCTTGGAGGCTTCCTTTGTTGCAACCATAATGACGAACAAGGATTGAGCTGTGTGAATTGGAGATGAACGGTAAATAGGTAATTACGTGGTAAGAATGGTTGGGTGTTTGGAAAAGGGAAGGAACTGAGATTGAATGCGAATACGTCAGAGCGGTGTGTAGTCAAGGGCGCATGTGTAAATCCAATGTGACTGCTCTGCCCAAACACCTAAATATATTACAATCCACAGACTTGATAGGAATACACTTCAGTAGACGGAAACCAACCGCTCAAACGTCCTGGACGCGAAGAGACCAGGTCGCGCATTGCTCTCAATTGAGATCGCGTCACGAAACTGGTGGCGGCACCTCTTCTCTGGACCTCGCTTGCCCATGTCTAGCATGGTAAGTAGTCGTTCATTGACTACGGTAGTGCCGGTGCTATGGCCATGAACACTTTTTGTGCCACCATTAGGCTTTGAGGATACCATCACATCTACGATTGGTTCGGGGACCTTGTATGCATTGTTAAGCAAAGGCAGACGCTTGAGATGACCGTCAAAGAGCGTTGTCAGGTGCTCACCACAGCGACTGAAAGATGCCATAACTTTGAAGTCGGCCACTTCCACGGTGCATTCCCCGCACTACCACGGTCTTGTTACTCTCGAGAGGTACCGATGGAGGATTCCTTTCCTTTGACTGGTGCTGGAATGGCGTCTGAGTAGTATGGATGGATCAAGATGCATTGCTGGCAGCAGACTATGTCGCATAAACGATCATGAGTTGCTTGACAAACGTGAATAAAACGTGAACACGCATCAGACGGTGAAGAAAGTGACTGCCGCTAAGCCCGATGGAGGCTAGGCGTACAGCTCATCGATGTTGCATCATCCATTTCAATGCCCGCTCCAACAGTTCTGCCGTCTTGCGTGTTCAACTTTGGTTCCTCCCACCCCAAACACAGCACTCTTGTGTCTAGGACTGGCAGGAAATCTTTCTCGCTGTACTCCCATACGCAATTTGCTCTCAAGTTTGTATATCTATCACCCACAAACCCCACCATCAGCCGTTTCCAACCACAACCCCCTCCCGCTGGCTAGGACAACCACACATACTACCATGGGAGCGCTCTTCTCTCTCCCCATCATGCTGCTCAACTCTCTCCTACCATTCACCAAACCTGGAACACCTCTCACACAAGACCTCATCCACACAGCCATTCTCTGCGGTACACTGTACTTCGCCCCGCAAATAGCAGAACGGTACAATGCACAGCAAAGACGCAGCCAGCCAACAGACACACCAGCACACAGCACTGAGCGAACACAAGTCGAAAATGATACCACGGCCCCAGAAGGAGCACCACTAGACGAGGGCCTTGCACGGCGCCACGCCGACCACGACCACGACCACGACAACAACGCCGCACCCACACCTCCCAACCAGCCCAACCACCAACCCAACATCGAAGACGACGACCACGCCCCCGGCCCCGCAAACCCAAACCCAAACCACCCCCGCCCCACCCCCGCAAACCGCACCATCGGCGCCAAAAAAGCAAAATCCCTCGCCCGCAAAGACCAAAGACGCGCATACCACGAATTCCACAGACAAGAAGCCGAACTCCGCCGTCTGCAAGAATCCGAGGGCGCCGAGGAACGCGAGGCCTCGCTCCAGGCTGAACGCACACGCCGCGTGGCAATCGAGGAGGCGATTCGCGAGAAGGAGAGGGAGGAGCGCGAACGGCTGAAGAGGGAGCGGGAGATTGAGGCTGCCGAGGAGGTCGAGAGACGGGAGCGGGTTGTCAAGTTTGTGGGTGAGGAGGTGAGGAGGCGTGGGGGTGTGGATTTGGTGGATGTTGCGTACACAGAGGGCAAGGATAGGTTGTGGGCTGAGAGGCTGGTCAGGGCCAGTGGGCTGATGGCGGCTTTGCAAAGAGAGGGCGATGGACATGTCATGATTACGGCGAGGGGGTGGCTGGTTAGGATCGATGTCGAGTTGATGGAGCAAGTGTACAAGGATGCAGAGGTTCTTGGGAATGGCAAGGAAGGCAAGGTCTCCTTTGAGCAGTTCGGAGGCGTGCTGGAGCGAGCTGTGTTGGCGAGGGCGAAAGCCTAGATGGACCTGATTTGTTGTTTTCAAAGCATCTTTGACCAATGCGCGACGATACCCTAGATATAGTCCATGACAGATTTTGGCGTCTTTGTAAATCCATCAATAGCAGTAGGTTCAAGCAGGAAATCTCAAGCTCAACGTTGTAGCATGTCATTCACTATCATTCTCGGTTGCTACGACCGCATACATGGCATACATGGCATACATGAGCCACGACTCGCACATGTCTATCACCCACATAAAACATGGGATATCCTTCTTCATCATCACCATAGAGCAAGTCTTTTGTGGTATCGAAATTGTCCATTTTTGTCATGCAACCATGAAAGAGCTGGTTGTTCGCCTAGAGAACCCATGCCATGCTGAAGATCCTCGGTCCTGCCTGGCCATTCAAAACCAGACCAAGAAGCCGTGAGAAAAACTCCTCCCAGACACCATGCAGCTCCACCACACACATAAAATTCGCACGCCCTTATCGGTTGGACTTGGCGACACGCTCCAGCTCATCCTTCTTTTTGATGGCGTAGGAGTTGCTGCTTCCCTTGGCAGCGTTGATCAGCTCCTCAGCAAGGCACTCGGCGATGCTCTTGACGTTGCGGAACGAGGCCTCACGGGCACCAATGGTGAGGAGGGCAATGGCCTGGTTGACGCGGCGGAGGGGAGACACATCGACGGCCTGGCGACGGACGGTACCAGCGGAACCGATACGGGTAGAGTCTTCACGGGGACCGCAGTTGACAATGGCGTCGACGGCGACTTGGATGGGGTTCTGGTCGGTCATGATGTGGATCTGAGCTTATTAGCCAAATCCTTCGTCTGTCATCCCCTCGATCTGGAGTCTTTCCAGACCAAGATATGGGCGATTGGAAGGTCTACATACGATCTCGAAAGCGTGAGCGACAATGCGCACAGCCATGAGCTTCTTTCCGTTGTTGCGGCCGTTCATCATGAGCGAGTTGGTGAGACGCTCAATGATGGGGCACTGAGCCTTCCTGAATCTCTTGACGGCATAACGGCCAGCCGAGTGTGAGATGTAGACAGGTGTGCGGATCTGAATGTAATCGCTGCGGCTTCAGTTAGCCGAAGGTCTCGCAGCGCAATACAAGCAGGATATCCCCAGTGTGCAATTTGCTAGCCGGCTCTCATTCGCGGAGAGCGTGAAGGGGAAAGGGATGCATCGTGCGGGTAAACGTACGTCAATGAGATGTCGCGGACTTCGACCTCCTCGTAGGACCACTGCAAAAAGTGTTAGACAATGTGCGTGCCTCTGAAGTTTCGCGTTGGTCTTGCCTTGTTGAACAGCTTGACGCTGCCAATCTCGTCGGTGACATCCTTGGGCAGGATGGCGTAGCCGGAAGGGTTCTCGACATCGACTTCTCCGTCAGACATGATTGCGAGTGGCGGTGGTTAGTTGAGGGAGATGGACGTCGGAATTCGAAGTTGTCGGCTGCGGAGGTCAAATTCGTGATGCGTTGAAAGCAAGTGCGATGCGCTACTCGCTTACCAGCCAATAGCGCCAGTGCGAGGCTTGGCACGCTTCCACCCCAAAATGGCCCTTACCCACCCTTGTGCAGTACAGAACAGCATGCGCACATTATCATGTACAATTCACTCACCTACCACAGTAAACACCTCCATGGTTGTATAAATCTCCAAAGAGATCATCACGAAAGATCATATACATGGCATCATATTGTATACAACCATAACTCTGTTCAATTACCAAAAAAATACTTATCCTAAAAACATAAGACAGAGCACAACCGTGGTATATGGCCAAGCCGACTGTCCAATTCAAAACAACCAAGAAAAATATCCCAACTCAATGAATCAAACGCTGCAAAACGCAGACAAGACGCCTTGCAATGCCGCTGAACAAAACCAATTCCCACTTCAAGAGTCTGACAGCTCTGATAGCCCTGGCGAAGATTCGCACTGATCCCATAAACATTAGCACATCTTCTTCCAGGGACATGTGCTAACTCCTCGACACCCGTTCAACTTCATTTTCGTACCCGTGAGACAGGCGCACTGATGTCTCTCCGATCTTTGACACCCTGTACCATCAATTTCATCGGCGTTCCCTGCCCGGCAGCCATGCTTCTAGCACGACCTCGTCGCTCGCGGATGGCCTGCAATGCGGCCTCTCGGTCGATCGGTAGCTTGTTGAGTGAGAGCTCGCCAAGCACGGGTGTAGAAGCGTCTGCTGCTGCGTGAGCTACAGTGGAAGGTGTCATGGGGCCCCGGCCAGGCTTGAAGGCTGGAGTCGCGGGTGAAAAGTGGAGCGGAATCGTAGTTGTGGTGGTGATTGTTCGAGTGAGATAGGGGGTGGCTGGCCCAGATGGCTCCTGAGGCGGGGATGGTGGCGTTGGCGGCGATTCGTCCTCGTCTTCGCTGTCATCGATGGCATCCTCGTGAATGCTGATATCAATAGTCTTGCTCTCCCTACGCTCGCTACGGACAAATCCTACTCGTGACTGTGGCCTTGACACTAGTGTAGACTCAACATCAGCAACAGTGTTGGACACATGTCTCGACTCTATCAGGGGTGATGGCTGTAATGTCGTAGTAGCGCAAGCAGGGGCAGCTGCCTTCACGGGTGAGGGGACAGAGCGAAAGGTACCTGTAGAGGGCGAGAATGCAAGCACGGTGTCTGATGCGACAGGGGGCGTGTGCACATGAACAGCACTTTCATGGTCCATGTCCTGTTTCGACTGCAATGACTCCTCCAAAGGTGGTGTAAATGGACGTTCAGGCTGCATGGTCTCATGCTTGGCTACCGCATCTTCCATCTGATCGTCTTCGTGATTACTGGGTGGAGGTGTGAATGCCGGGACAGATGTCTTGATACGTTCCATTTCCGTGGCATAGGTGTTGTCATGAACGTATTGTCTGCTTTGCCTTTCAGCAATACGGCAAGAGCAGCACTCAAACTGGCACTCCATCTTCATGAAGTCTATCTGCTCTTGGGCACGTTCGCGTAGCCGTCGTTCAGCAGTCAACTCTTGCTGCAGGAATCGCAGTTCGACGGCCCCCTTCTTAGGAGACACGTTTTCCTTGTCATCTTCATCTTTCCGACACTTGCGCTGTTTGCGTGGTGAACGTATGGGAGAGTCAAACTCATCGTTCTCGTCTGCGGCAACAGCAGGAAGAGCGATACGGCCTTCTGCAGCGACTCGCATGACTTCCTCTTCCTGCAAGCTGGTCTTGAGCGCATCCCGCTCCTCCTCCACAACCTTCAACTGCTGCTGTAGCGACTGTATTTGCTCGTCCGATCGAGCACGAACACTCTCCACCTCTACTTGGAGGCCGTATACCTGGTTTTGGTATTTTGCAGCCTCCTCTGTCTTGAAGCGAACATCCGATTCGGTGCGTTGTAATTTGCGTTCTAGCACTTGAATTTCCGCCTGTAATGTTGGGATCTTACCCGACACCTTCAAGTTATCTTTGGTGAGTTCATGAGTCTGTTTTCTATACTTAATGTACTTCTCCTCATAGATCTGGCGGTGTCTCTCGCTGCGGTCCTGCGATAGTCAGTACTTTATGCGGTAATGCTCCTTCCATAACCTACCAGTTTTATGTTGAGAGTTCGATACTTGTCATCCATGTCACTCAATCTTTGGGTTAGGGTGGCAATCTTCTCCCGGCTAGACATGTACTCTCTCTCGTAATTGGACTTTGTAACGCCAACCTCAAGTGCGGCCTTTGCTTTCTCCAAGTCACCCTTCAGCTGTTCGATATAAACATCTTTGCGGTCGATCAGCATCTGGTATCTCGTTTCTGCCTTGTCCCCTTTTGCCTTTTCTTTTGCAAGCGCTTCCTTGTATCGTTTGGCCGCTTCCTTTGGGTCCTTAACCTCGAGGTTCTCGAACATGACAGCAAGCCCTGAGACTGAGATCTCCGAATTGGTGCGTTGGTGTCTGCGCTTGATGCTTTCGACGGAGGCATCCGAGCCGGTGCGTTGATGTTGGTTACGCAATGGAGAGGGCGATCGCATGTTGGGTGCAGACTGGGAAGGGGACATGACTGGAGATTCGCCGCCGTGTCGCGGTGATCGTGGTGGTGTGCCTACGCGCACTGGGCTCGCCGGAAACACAGGCATGTCCCGTGAGAAGGGCGGCTTGACGGGTGAAGAGGGCGGATCCATTTGGACCGGGGATTCGTTGAGGCGCGCCAACTTGGCGGTATTATGAGTGTATTTGAGGTATCCAAAGGGTAAGTATGCTGTAGGCTGAGACGCTTTTCTGTAGCTGATGCGGTCAATGGTAGTTGTGCTTGGTAAAGAAGTTGCAGTGATGTTGTGGAACGAGCTCGGACGTTCGGACGATAAACAAACCCACGCGACACCACCTCCCCTGCCATAACAACGCGCACGGACCAGCTTGCCTGGACTTTGTTAAAAAACACCTCACTGCTTGTGAAGTCACACATCGTCACCCATAAAGTTTAATCTAGCAGCTATAGAATACTGCCCAATGGACTATCGATGTTTACGACTGCGCATGGTGAACGTTGCTACCAAGGACCGACTCTAACAATACTTGCGCTCCTAATCAAGGGTCTCGAATGCACCTGTGATGAACTGCTCGAATTGGAAATCCCAGGTGGAGTTCAATAGCTGGGTTTGCATCTATACTCATCATCTTGTCATCAAGCGAATAATGCCAACTTCTAATCAGTAAAGCAGGCGAATCACAAAGTGCTAGCTACAGTACTTGTAATAAGAAGGTCCCTAGCTTGTACAATGATATACGTTTGAACGTTCAGCAAACATATGTATATATATATATATATATATATAAATCAAAAATAATCAACGATGCATTACAAACTGTTCACATATTCAGCCTTGCACGCCCTGTGACATCCAAGCAACCAAACACGCATGCTAAATAATGAATACTGTACAGTCGACAACATGTTAAGATAACGCCGGGGCATTCTCTTGCCGCTGTGAGACCGCTTGACGACGACTTGGTGTATATGACCAGAATATGATGCATCCAGAGAAGATCCAGGAAGGAAGAGATCCATGTTGAAGAGCAGTATGCTTCAGATATTGCCAAAAAAAATCCGCTTCTCCGTAGACGCCATGAGTAGTACTCCCTTTTTTAACCCGAAGTTTTCCTCATGATATTATACCGTAGTATTGTGAGAAAGGCGCAAAACATCATTTCAATCTCGAAAATAAAAGGCTCCCATGCAATCAAGCCTCCCAGGCCGGCGGTCTTCCACGGCCCATCGTCCCATAACTCGGCTCTTCTTCCTCGAGCAAACTTTCCATAATAGATCCAACATCCGTATTCGTAACTGTCATCGCGTCTTCCCGGTCCAATCTCTTCCTCATCCGATACACCTGCACAGTCACATAGATAACCAGCGCCGAACCAATGAAAAACGCCACAACAGACAAAAACACATTGACAGGAATGGGATTACCGTTGAACGCCGTCTTGGTCAGAGCGTCGATGCCCGTCTGCGACAAGTTGATGAGGCCGGAGAAGCAGATGATGGTGCCGTAGACGCGGCCAAAGGTGGCAAAGCCAAAGACTTTGGTCGCGTAGTCGGACATGGCGGAGTAGTATAGCGGTCGGAGGAAGACGAAGAGCAGGACGTTGACGTAGCCGGCCCAGAGCGCGGAAATGGAGCCCACGACGCCGACGGCGGTGATGAGGATGACGAGGATGAGGAGCACGCCCGGCGTGCTCACGTTGTCTAGAAGTGCGCCGAGAAAGGGCGTGGCTATGACACCGGCAAGGGGCAGTGCCCAGTCAAAGACGTCATTGACTTTGGCGGCGAGCTCGGCGGATCCGAGCATATATGTGTACTGCTCCCGTATCGTAGCGATGAAGTAGTTCATGCGTACCATCTGGACGACAGTGAGAAGAGTAAGGAGTATGAACCAGGGTGTGAGCATCTGGTCCTTTGCGGATTTGTTGTGCAGTGCGCCCCAGACGCCCGAGGTTTCGAGCTTGTGTTCCTGCTTCTCCTCGCGCATCTTGCGCGTGGCTTCGTCGCCGACGAGGTCGTCGAGTTTGCTGATGCGCTCGCGTCGCCGCAGGCTACGGGCTTTTCTGACGCGCCACATTTCGTCTTCTGGGAGATCGTCATCTGAGGAGTGGATGTCTTGCATGGGGTCTTCCGCTTTTTGAATCTTCATCTCCAATTGCGGCGCTGTTTTGTAGGCCTCGCTTGGGAGGAAGGTGAGTTGGGCGATGGTGATGGCGATGGGAACGATTAGATAAACGAGAAAGAAAGTCTGCGGCTTAAAAGTCCCATCGGTTGCGTCGTAGGCCATCTTGTAGAAGAGAAACACAGCCGCTGATGCATCGAAGGCGCCAGTGACGAGGGCGACGATAGTGCCACTTATCTTGGGAAAGGCATTAGCTATTTGGAACGAGGGCAGGAAGACAAATGTGCCGCCCAGCGCAAGGAAGAAATTTCCAATCGTATATCCATCAAAGGCCTCAACCTGAAAGGCCAGGCTCATTAGAAGACTGCCCATGGCAAGGAAGAAGGAGCCAAGAAACATGCAGAGCCTTGGCCCATAGCGGTCGAGCAGAGTACCAACAGGGAGAGCAGATACATTTGCAGTAGTAGACGCCAGCGAGAAGAAGAAGTTTAATCGAAGGGCTTGGTCGAAGCAGACTTCCACGTCTGCGTCCAGCTCTTCGGGTGTGCAGAGATCTCGGAAGACACCCTCTTTGATTAGAATAGGCTTTAGAGCTGCGAATCCAAAAACAATGCCGCTAGCGAACCAACAAGCCAAAATAATTGCAACGACCTGTGCTGGGGTTGCATGTTAGTGGTCCATTCGATCGATCCTTTCTCGACGGACAATCACAGAAGACTTACCAATACGTTTGGAAGTTGGCACCTTGTACGGCGTCAACCCCCCATACTCCTCTCCAGTGACTGGCGCCTCCGGCCTCGGAAGCACATCATAACTGATGATCCTCTTGACGGTCTTGCCCTGGCCTGGTGCTGCCTGCAATCCTGCTCCTGAGATTGCACTCTCGAGAGAATAGCGACGCTCCGTGGCTTCCTGTCGGCTAATCTGGCGATCGACCGGCGGCAGAAACAAGTCTACCAACGCCTCATCACGATCTGTGCCTTCCTGCTGCGTGACATGCTGAATCAATGACATGAGCGGCGCGCAATGGAATCCCGTCTCTTGTTGAACAAGGCCAGGATCCAATCAAGCAGGCAAACAAGTAGCCAGGCAAAGTGACGAAAGACTCGAATGAATTGGGGGGGGAGGGGGAATATGGACAATCAAGGAAGTTGGAAGAAGAACAGGAGCTTTATGTTTCGGTCGGGCGATGGAAACTGCTAGCAAGAAAAAGTGGGCGCGAGCGAAGGGAACGGAGGAAATTTGACGCGTTGCGACTTGCAAGTACCGTACAGTACCGGTAGGTACGTTAGTTGGGGAAGCAGCTGGCACGAGGCCCAGAAGGCCCATCTGGATTTTTGGCTGCAAGCTTCCCTCTCGAGTCACATGGCTGGCTGATGAGTATTGAGTATGCATGGGCGACAGAGATTCCCATACCAAGGGATTCCAAACGCGATGCTACTCCAACTACGAACAGCGGTAAACGGTAAAAGCAGATGCAGCGATGCTCGTTGCAGGCTGCTGCGGGGGCAATTGATTGGCTGGCTTGTTTCGCTAGTCATCCGCGACGATCCTTCCATGGCTGAACTGAATGTCTCCTCCTTCTCCTCCTCCCTCCTCTCCATCTCCTCCCTCCTCTCCACCTCCTCCCTCCTCTCCACCTCCTACTCCTCCCTCCTCTCCACCTCTGTGCCATCTGTCCCCCATCACGAAAACACAAAACACCTCGAGACAGGCTGTAGATGAAGAGGCCACCGAGTAGTGTTGGATGACGATGCCCTGTTTGCATGTCATGGCTTCTTCCCACATTTCAATTGGCGTCGGACGTGCCTGTGTCAAACCCAAGACCAGATGCCAACAGCAAGGTCCGTTGTACAAGTGATACGAGGACAGCGTCTGTGGTTACCAGCAAGAGCAGTGTGCATCGGCCTGTACTCACTGGCTGTGCTCAAGCCCAGGAGCACACAGTATCTAGTCATGGTGCAACTTGCGAACTGGCTTTACCAACAGTAGAATCTATAGCCTAAACTGCCCCGCTATTTCAATGTTGAGGTGGTCGACCCTTTCCGATGGCCCGTCATGGCAGACACCAAAAGAGTTGCAGAACAGCAAATAGATATCCTCTATGGATGTCGATCTGGCCGAGCCATGGTAGATGGCATAGATCCTCAGTCAATCCCAGATCAATGCAGACTTGCTGCCCCGGTGATGCGATGCAGTACCCCCATCCCTCCCCCCCACCTTTCCCAACGAATCGCCAATCGCATCACCGAACCAACACGGCATGGAGCAATCAGCTTCCACAGAACTATACCGGTAGTGCAATGCCGCCGACATCACTCCAGCCGAACACGCCACGGTATACGGGACTAATCGGATGAGCCATCTCATCCACCTCCTAGGAACCCTCGCGCTTGATTGCGTGTTCGTTCAGTGGTTGAAGCTTCGATCTTCACTGCACACAACAAAACTTGCACCTGATTTCCATCCGTGTCGCTTTCCATCGGCTCGACACGCACACGCCATTGCGCACGTTTGACTGTCCACTCAACTTCTGCATCCTCGCCTGTCCGCAGGTTGGCATTGTTATGGTGAATCGTCCTGCCGACCCATAGCCACTCAGGGGAAAGACGTGCACCTCCAGATTTGCGGATGCCCATCGTCCCGCTCTCCACATTCATGGCAATCTCTACTGGAGCGCCGTCTAACAGAACTGCGCACTCAGTATCAAGCCTGACTCGTACACGGCGCTCACTGCTTCCAGGGCGTGTTGAGCTGGCCGACTGGGATGCGGTACCGCCGCCTGGTCGCAGATAAGCGAAACCGAATGGTTGATTGGCCGACAGCCCGAGTTTGGATGCAATCACAGTAAACAGCGAAGTCATACGCGCGAGACTCGAGTCGTAGAAGCTAGCGCAGAGGTCAATTCCAGAGCGTTGCCTTGAATCCTGAGCGGTACATGGAAAATGTATCTTCGCAAACTCCGTAGCTGATGTTTCGAGAATCAAGGTGTGGTTTTGCGCGGCATCATCCGTAAAAGGGCGTGCATACGTGACAAAGCCTGGTCCTGTGATGCTCTTTGGCTTCGATAACGGCGATACCGCTGCTGATGCTGTTGGGCCTCCATGGGCGGAATCAGGTTCCGATTTTCCAGAGGATTCGTCTGTACTAAAGGAAATACCTGACTGTCGAATATCCTCAAGGCGAATCAGAATCTCTGACTGCTGGCGCTTCAGGTGATACGAAATCTCGTGCAGGATAAGACGTTGCTCGAGGCCTTTGAGGTGAAAGTAACGTGCATCTCTTAGGAGACGGGAACGGTGTTCTTCGTTTCGAATCTCTAGATCATAGCCTTGAAGGAGCTGCAGCAGCTCCCTGAATACCTCGCCATTCCTATTGGGCACTGAAGGCGGGGAGATGGAGGGTGGGCGAAGCAGAGCACTGCGGTCTAGTCCTGGGAACGCTTCTGCTGGCGTTGAAAAGAATTGAGCAAAGCCCCAAGAGAAGTAGTTGGGGCTATCGCCTGGTGCTGAAAATAAATCCCTCGGGACTTGGAACGGCGTTCCGCCGATGCTGACGAAGATATCGGTCTTGAACAGTTGTTTCGTCAGTTGCGGCACTTGGATTGTCAGTCCATGACAGATCATTTATGATTTCCTATCGCTGCCAACTCACAAGAATAAAATTGCGCATCTGCATACAGTTTCACAAAGTGTTCACCATTCTTCGGCGTGACGTGGTAGCCTTGTAAATGCAGTGCAATGTCACGGAACGTATCAGGATCACGGTCGATATACAGAGTCTTCACATCACCGGCGCGGCCACCATTCTCCTGTAATTGATGGCCAAAGAAGTGAGAGAAGTAGGACGGAGCTCTAGCAGTCTCAGTAATCATCACACCTTGACAAAAGAGGGTTTCATGCTTACCATCCGAAGACAATGAGGCTCCGGATAATCTGAAGAGCTTTGAGCCAATTTGAATTGGGAAAACTTTGCCAGCTGGAAGTACATCCACTCCCTCCGAATTGGCCACCTTCCGAGCTTCGGCGGTGTCGCTGGTTATTCCTCGTGAACCGGTGCCTTTACTTTGTTCTTTCCTTCCTTCAGCCTGGGTTTCTTCCGGCTGCACTGATCGCGACGTAGGCTCGTTGGTGCTTGTGGTGGTGCTTGTGGCCGCGCCTCGAACCGCGTGCGGAGGTCGAGTATTGGGCGTCGCAGCTACAGCTGATGAGGCTGTGGACGCGTCCGACGGGTTTCGCGATATATGCTGACGTTTGTTTGAGCCCTCTGCGAGGTGATTCGCATTCTGTGCAGCAGAGAGATCAGGCTCCGAGTTCCCCTTCCTCTTCACGCCGGCCTGGACGTGGGGTCTCGTCTGTGACAACTGAGGTGGCAGAGGCGGCGTAAACGGGTTCTGCGACGGCGTGGCCGTCAACGTCGAAGTCGCGCTGTGAAGTTGCTGAAATCGGTGGTAGTCGGTCGCTTCAGCAGAAACTGGGACTGGAATGGTAAAGTCATTGGACGGAAGAGGCTGCTGTTGGAATTCTTGCACAAGTTCTCCTTGAGGCTCATACTGGTTCGAGAAATCGTTGAATTCGAGCGCGTTATTCCAGCCCCAATTCAGCGCGGCAGCAGGATTGTACCCAAAGTTTGCATAAGGCGGAGCTACACGTTGCTGGGCATCAAAGTCTCCATAGCTTAGTGCAGGATCTTGAACACCCGCTTGGGCGATCACGGTGGAATGGTCTGGCACATTCGTACTGCCTCCGGTCATGTAGGATCCATATTGTTGTCGTTGTGGTTGTCGTGGCGGCGCACCCGCGTGATCCGAGGTTAGAAAACCAAACTCTAGTGGCTTCGCGTCGCGATCTGACATGAGACTAGATGTAACGAGGGGCTAGCCTTCCCGTCTCAGGCCACTGAATGAGAGCTTACACTGGTGGGCTGGGGTTGCTGATGGAAAGCTGAGCAAAGGTTGTGCACCTGGAGCTTGTAGGAGGACGTATGGCGGGCTACTACGGTAGGTATATTTCCACCCTAGTCCGGCTGTTGATCTGTGGGTCCCAGCAACAAGAGGCATTTTTACCAGCTACGTAGTACAAAGTGCTTGAATCTGAGCATCTTCTAGTCATGTATACATCCTAACGTACCATACCGGTATAGCAAAAAGAAATTTACCACGAGTTACACTCCTGCACTACGGTAAGAAATTGTTTACTGTAGAATAGTACGCTAGGGGTTTACTATATAGGTGTAAACTAACCTTATGTATACCTATAAATACGTTTAAAGTAGTAGTTTACTTTTTTATAGTATAAATATAGTATAGTTTACTATAGACCTATTAGTAGAGTAAATAAAGTAGTTTATAATAGACCTATTAGTAAAGTATATAAAGTAGTTTATAAAAGATAAAATATAAGTATTAGGTATAGTAATAATAGTATTAGATTTTTTTTAGTATCCTTATATAAACTACTAGTACGTTATCGCCTATCCTATCCCTAGGCCTAACCTGCCTAATTAATAGCCTATACCTACCTAATTAACAGGCCTAAAACTACCTAATTATTAGCCTATACCTGTATAATAATTAGCCTATACCTATATAATTATAAGGCTAACTACTATATACCTTACTGTGGAAATTTAGATTACTAAGGTTAGGAATAATTTAGGAGATGGATTGTTAGATTATATCTACTACGATCAGACTTATATATATAGAGCTTTAGCTACCCTTACTAGAAGGTAAATAATTAGTAAACCTTCCTTACTAGAGCTCCTGCTTTTTATTAGGCACTTAGCAGTAAGCTAGCAGTTAATTAGATAGTAGGTTATACAGGGGTATTAACTAGGATTAATTAGGATTAATTAGGATTAAGATACTCTATAATCTAGTTAATATCCCTCCTATAACACACCCCCTAGGTATAGGTAGATCTTTTATTATTATAGTTACGCTTATAGTTAGTAGGTAGTGTAGCTAATTAGAGTGTTATATATCTAAAGGGTTAAATTAGCTTACCCTTTAGATACTAACTAGTACGCCTTCCTTATTTAGCCTATACTTGCGCGCATAGATATTATCTAGATAGAGCTCTATAACTCTATCTACCTAACTATAATCTTTTACTATAGCTTAAGTTATAAGATTATATAACCCTAAAGATCTAAACTATACTTATATCCCTACTAACCTATATCTTAGTTAAAGTTAAAACCTACTACTTACACTTACTTTATTTATACTACCCTTATTACCTCTTATATAGCTAAAGCTATAGTTACTAAAGCTACTACTACTAAAGAAGAGCGCGCTACTACTAAGCGTAAAGCTATTATAAAGTATATAGTAGCTAAGTATATAGCTACTACTACTATAGCTAAGATTATAAAGCTAAGGTAAGGCGCTCCTACTCTAGCTCCTACTACTCTAGCTCTAACTCTAGCTCCTGCTCCTCCCTAGACCCTACCTAAGGCCCCTACTCCTACGCCTACTCCCTCTCTAGCTCCTAAGGAGACCCTAAGATCCTCCTGCTATAGAGAGCCTAGTATTTATTGTGCTAAAACTTATCTAAATTATCTACGCTTAGCGCTCTTTAATAAGTCTAATAGTAAGTGCTATAACTCTTCTAATAGGGGGACTTAGTGCTAGTAGTACTTCTCTAGGTATAGCTATATCCTAATATATATAATCTATATAAGAATTTTTCCTTTATAATACTTTTAGTAAGATCTTATACTAATAAACATTTTAATAGCCCTAAGCTTGCCTAATACTCTACGCTATCCTTCCTAGTAAGGAAGTAGGTAGGTAAGAGCTAAGACCTTCTTAAGAATAAGAAGTAAAGGGTCTTAGTGCTCCTTAAGGAGAGCAAGGCTAAATAGTAGGAGCTAGTAAAAGCTGCTACTACTGCTACTAAGCTTGCGCGCAAGGCTACTTCTATAGCTAAGGGCGCCTAGAGCTCCTTATTAGAAGATAAGGACTATAGCTCCTTTAAGGTTCCCCCTATAGATCCTAGGGTAGGGCAACCTAGGTAGCTCCCTATAGACTCTAAGGCACGCTTTGCGCGTGTAATAGAGCTCCTTAAGGAAGCTACCTAGTTAATAATAAAGAGGTAGGCTATAGTTAGTTATTTTTATATTATATATTAATAGATCTTATATACTACCTTACTTTAATTAATACTATATAATATATACTCTACTATTATATAACTTTAGGTGCTCCCTAAACCTTATAAATTATTATACTATTAGGTTTTTAGTAAGCCTATTAGCTAGTATATTACTAGTAGGTAGGTAGGTAATATAGAAAGATCCCTTTATATACTCTTACCTAAGCTACATGTTTTAAATATCTATATAGCGTAGCTTAGTAGTAATCCTTTTATTATTACCTACTACTAACCTAATAGTTTATTAATTATTACAATTAATTATCTAGGTAGTATCTAAAGTAAGGTGTATTTTAGTTAAAAAATATTTTAACGCTATTGCTTCTTTGCTTACTTGCTTAAGCGCAAGGAGCTCTGCCTTAGTAGTTAAAGTAGTAATAGTTAATTATTAAGCTGCCTTCTAAATAATAGGTCCTCTAAAGAGCGTAATTAGGTATCTATATAATAATTGCTAAGTATTAATATTATTAGTAAATAACGCATTACTATATATTATAAGCTTATTAGGATCCCTATTCCTATATTAGATTAATTAGTATTAAGTTTAGTATAGATAGACAATTACTTAATTAACCGCATTAAAATGTTATTTAGATAGGTTAGTAAGGTATTAGGAGAGCTAGGAGGCTACATAGGCAATATTAGGGCGCACTATAATTAAGGTGTAAAGGATTAATCTAACGCGCTCCTAATAGTCCTTAATCTCCTTTTTAGTAGCTTCTCTAGTGCTCTTTTTAATATCTTTACTTAATAGTAGTATAGTAGGGAATTTTCCTATCTCTACTAGATTAAATTTCTTTATAATCTTGTTAATGTATTTATTATAAATAAGCGTTATTATCTATCTCTTTCTATCCTAGATTACTCTTACCCCTAGAAACTAGCTTATAGGTCCCTTCTCTTCTATAGTATATCTTTGCTTTAGAGCTTGGATAACCTTGTAAGCTTAGCTTGCGTAGTTTTGGTAATAGAGCAATAGGATATTATCTACATAGAATATTAACAAGATACTGCAATCTCTATTAAGGAATAGGCATAGTTCCTCTTTAGAAGTAATAAGCTTATTTTCTTAGAGTATAGTTAAGAGCTTATTATACTATAATAATAGTAAGTCTTTTAGTCTATATAGAGCTCGTTTAAGCTTAACGCACTTCCTAGGTATTTAATATCCTTTAGGTAGCTTGCAGATAACTATAGGGTGTTAATCCCTTAAGGCGTTAAGGAAAGCTCTAATAATATTATATTAATATATTTTAAGGTTAAACTTAGCTCTAATAGCTATTGCAGTCCTAAAGGTTTAAGCTACTAGGGTAGCTGCGTAGGTTAAATAAATTAAGTTAGTAAGCTATAGATCTCCTCTTACTACTATCCTTGCTTTGCACTTAATTAGGTAACTATCCTAATTAAGCTTGTATATAAACACCTATTTAAGTAGGAGTAGACACTCTCCTTTAGTTAGCCTATTAATCTCCTCCTAGGTACTAGCTTTTAGTAGAGTATTAATTTCTTTATATACTGCGTCTCTAAATTACTGTCCTATTTAGTAGTTATAGAGATCCTTCTATTATTTTAGCTCTTTTTATAGAGCGTCCTAGTGCGTATTTCTTTTAGGGTTTTTAGGGGGTTTGCTCCCTATTACTACTGCGATTACAGCGTAGATTATAGCATTTAGTTTAGGATATACTAAAAGATTATATAAGGGATTTCTAATTAGATCTATATCTAATAGATCTATTACTATATATATCCCTATACTTGTGGAGCCTCCTAGTAGTTTATTAGGGTCCTGTCCCTAAGCTTACTTACTAATACGCGTTAGTGGTAGTCCTTTAACTTGTAGTTTTCTACTTTTTCTAGGAGCTCTAGGTGCCGCTTGTAAGGGATCTGCAGGAGATATAGAATCTAGTCCTAAAGCGGGTAGGTAGGAGCTCTGCTTACCACCCCTATAAGGGCTAGATAGGGTGCCCTTACCTATCTCCGTGCTCTTATAGAGTAACCTACTAATAGCACTCTCCCCTCTAGGTCTTTCCTAGGAGCTACCTATTATAGCGTTAAAGTAAGTTAGATTACTACTATCTTAGGTAGTAAGACCCTAATCTATAACCTATATAGATCCTTTGTCTCCTATACTAAAGTTTAGTTCTAGTGTTAGTTTAGGAGTTTAGAGCCCTATTAGCTTAGGGGACTTTGCATAGATCCTTTGTGCTAAGCTAGCCATGCTTGGTACCTACGCTAGAGGTGTCTGCTTAGGGGGTTGTGAATCACTAGGCTAGCTAGCCTAATTATCTACCTCCTCTAGCTCTACTCTACCCCCTAGCTCCTGCGCTAGGTTTAGTCCTCCTTGCTTACTAGACTCCTTATATTGCTCTGCCGCAATACAAAGCTAATTAAAGATATTAAGCTCTTTATATACTTCTCCTGTATTATAGATCTTATCTTTGCTAATAACGTTAACTATCTTTTAAGCCTCTAACTATTAAAGCTACTCTAGATCTTTCTCTTTATAGAAAAGATCCTTATTAAAGGTAACGTTCTGCGTTATAATAATCTAATTAAGTAAGGGGATCTATATCTTATATATATTAGATGCTCTATATCCTACTAGATATCTAATATAACCCTAAGGGTTCACCTTAAAAACCCTCTTGTAACGCCTAGCTGCTTAATCTTGGTTAAGGGGGTAAGCTTAACAGCC